TAGTGGCCAGCAACTGAGGCTTGGAGGAGCCAGGTGGGAAAGAAACCATAAGAGCTTCACACTGCAAATGGTAGTAGACCGGGGCGCTCTCTCCAAAAGCACGCTGGGGATGCCAGATGTTTAAATGGGTTAAAGGGAGACTCAAGTAAGTATCCAGAAGGAAGATCCCTTGAGGGCTGCTAAATAAACACACATCAGTGTCCGAAATCTGAGCTTAATGTATTTTGGATCCAGGAGAGTCACTGGGGACAAGTTTCACACGCCCAGGAGGGCAACCTGTGGCTGCTGGGCTTGGCAGATCCTCTGTGTGCACCAGCACCGCCAGTTTTGTGCTCCTGTGGATATTTCTAGAGGTGATTGATGGGTGTTGTGTGCTTCTTTTGCAGCTTTCTCTTTGATGTGCTTCTCATGCAAAGATGCATCTTCCAACATACACTGCCTCAGTACAACCACATGCTCTGACCATGAGAAGTACTGTCTCACAACCTATTCTACCACAGGACTGGGTAAGTATGAAGGTTTTCTAAGGCGCTGACGACAAGATGGGGGTTCAGGTTAGGCTGACTGCACAATCTCCTCCCACCATGAGGTGTGGTGGAAGAATTAATGAGGATCACAGCACAAGAAGAGCAAATCTTGCAGCAGGTGGGCACTCAGCATAGCCCCTCTCTGTTGCAATATATTGTAACAATACTGCACTGCTGATTAAACACACCCAGGAGAGGGAGACACTGGAAGAGAGAGGCTTTCTCTGTGCAAACCCCATGTCTCACCTCCAAGCTCATATATATGCTCATGAGGTGGTGGAATTGGAAAGGGCTGGTACTCTGGAAGGGGCAATATCAAGACATGGTGACAATGACATCTTGCAGTCTTGCACTGTACAAACGCATTAGTTCTCCAAATTCCTGTCCTAGGTTGGCCCTGAAAACAGCAGAGGAATCTTAAGGCCTGGAGATGGTCTCCATAGGTCACACATACACAAATAATGATGCAGTGTGCCAAAGACCAAGGGAAAGCCAACAGCAATAAGTACAGAAGAACGTATTCCCCACTGGATATTGCACTCCCAGTCTGTCATTGATGTTTGTAAAAAATACACAAGACAAAAAACCTGTTCTCTCTCCCACTTCAGGCAACGACCGTAACCAGCGCATTACCAAGAAATGTTCTGCATTTTGCCCAACAATTGACCTGAATATCGGCATAGCTGGCGTTGCTACCAGCTGCTGTGAGACTTCCCTGTGCAACGTCAGCGGTGCCAGCAGTGTGAAAACCAGCTACACTGTGATAGCTCTTGGCATCTTGGCCAGTCTCGCCTGCATCCTCCGGCTGGGTTTTTAAAGTGGCTGGGCGGTGGGTAAAGGAGCTGCTTGGCCTTGCATTGCAAGGGATCAAACTCTTATCTGTACAGAATGCCACCCTGTTTCTCCTACCTGGAAGGTCACATCCCATTAGCAAAGAATTTTGCTCTTTCCATGCTCTGATGACAAGGCACAAGAGCACAGCCCTACCTCAAAATGGTGTTTGGAAGAGAAAGGCATGATGGGGAGCCCTGCACATGCAGAAGGGCGCCATATAGTCACCATGTCTCCTACTATCGGTCTTTATAACTCCATGCAGTTTTTTCCCTTTCATTTTGCCCCTCCCATTCTCCTGTGCCATTTTTCCCTTTATACCATTTTCTGCCCCGTACCATTTTGCTCTGAGGAAGCCTTTAATATTATAGCTGTTAAACAGAAGCCAGGCACAATAAAGTGTTATTTTATTCTACTGTGTGACTGTGTGGTGTGGTACATTTGGTGTAGTGGCTGGATGCACCCGTGTTAGCAACAACGAAAGTGGAGGCATTAAAGTCTGCAAATCAAATCAAAATAATGCTGAAATACGTTGCAATTGCTTTGCATTCACTTCAGGAAGCCTCTCCCCAGATTTTATTTTTTTTCTGCATTGGCAGAAGTGTAATTTTTGTGGCGCCATTCAGAGTAAACTGTATTCTATTTAACTTGCTTTCATTTTCTGTTCTGGGTCAGCTGGCTGAAAGGAAACGGCCGTTGAGCTCTCCAGCAGGCAAACAGAGGGGACAAGGCAGGACCCAACGTGAAGGGATCTTGAGCATTAAGTTTTCTTTAAACTGATTTAAGATCTTCCAGTGGAAATTGCTTTATATGCATTATGGATTACTCTGAAAGGGGAGAAAAGCATCTTGCATGGTGCTTAAAGGCAAATCATCAGAAAAGACAGCTAGTTTCTACTGTGTGTCTGCTGGAGCCTGGAAATTTCTGCCTCATCTATAACAAAATATTAACCTTGAAAAGAAATCTTTTATGTTTGTTAGTCAAGTTTGTTATCATGGTTAAAATTGAAAGAACTCATTCCCCTGCACTGACCTTTCTTGTGGATAATCTTAGGAACAAGAGATTTGCTCACTCAGACCCTTCTGAAGTGAGTCACAGGAGGATGAAATGCTTTCTCCTGAGCTGAAGAAGCTCTCTACTAGAATTACCCCAGCAAAGAAGTCCCAGGGTAATTAGTTGGGTGCAGCTCACCCAGCTGGTTTTCTCTCTGTAGACTCATTGCACAGGGAGAGCAGCTACACGCTTTGCTCACTCTGCTGGATATTTGCCGAGAGCAGAGGAACAACACCACTTGGAAACAGCGGGATCTTTATAACAGGTTTGCAAAGGAAATGCAGTCTCACGGCTCCAGCTCACCCTGACCTGCTCCTATCCTTTCTTGTCCACTCCTCCTCCCATCCACATCCAACGCCCAGCTACGCACTCCCTGGCTGTTTTCTTTCCCAGCCTTCCTTGTTGGCTTCTTCATCCAGTCTTAGTCCAAGCTTTACCTCCAACCTCTATTTTCTTGCTAGACCCTCAGCTAATTTTTTTCTCCTCGGTGCAAATGCAAGGATACTCCATCTTTAGCCATGACACTCTCCGTTGTCCTCACGGTTTGTATTGCACTGCCATTCACCAGCTGAGCTGGCTCCAGTCTTCTGTTCAATCTACTCTCTTCACCTTTCTTCCCCTCCTGCCAGATTTAGTGATATTCAAGTGGCACACGCATTTGAACACCTCAAATGAGCCAAGAACCGTTCTGTGGCCTTGGATGGCCATACTCTGCCCCACACCCAGATCATAAGGTGGTAACAACTCAACTATTTGAAGTAGTCTTCAGCCTTTGCCATCCACAGGTTTAGGATTTCTTAGGGACAACTCTGGTTGGCACAGGCAAAGGGCAAGCTGGGGGCTTGTACTGCCCCAGGTCTTGCCCTGCTGAGTTTGTGAACATAGGCCTGTCCTTGGCATCCAGGTTTAAAATAAGGTCATGTCTTGTGCTGCCTGAACTTGGCAAATGCCTCTGTTTTGGTCTGGGAGGGAACCTGGCACATGAAGGAAGGTATAAAAATGCTTGGGGAAAGGGGGAAAAGGCACATGGTAGAGCCTGCTTCTGCTTTGGAGGGTTTAATGCTCTGCTTATGGCTGTTGCATGGAGAAGTCATGAACAGCACTGGCAAGCCAGGAGTCCCATCCGTAAGGGAGCAGCCCCATCCATGGGTCCCAGCCTGCCTCCCTCTTGCCTGGTTTCTCCCGGATCCTATAGGTTTTGCATTCCCTACTGCCCAACCACACAACCCATCCACGTGGGCCAAAGATTGACCCACATCTCAAATTTCATAACATGGTCCTTATCTGGAGCCCTGAGGCACAGGACGTCCTAAACCCATGAAAGCTCTCTTAGTGAACCCTCCCTTAGCAATGGGTATTGTATAAGAGGAGGCTCCTCTCTGCCAGCCTTCCTGAGAAATCCTGATGTGACATCTCCCATGCAGATGCTGCTGCCTAATTCCACATCTCTCCTCCCAGGGTTTCTTATTCGTTGGCTCCCATCATTGCATACTCTTTGGATGAGAGCAGTGAGCTGCCGGAAAAAGACATCTGGGATGCCTGGAGGGCTCTCATGAAGAAGATGAGCATCTCATTCGAATTGTTGGGATTGCTCCTGGGAGGTGGCTGGCTCTCTCCGCGTGGATTATCTAAGAGCTCAGTTTTTGGTGCTCTGTGCCAGGAACTGAATCAGCCAAGGGAGACTTGCCCTGCCTAAATTAGGCATCTGGAGGAGGTGGTTTAACTTTGGCCCTTATTTTCCCTCACTCAGGGCTCTATCACCTCTGATTCTGAAGGACCTATGCTGCCTTCTGCTCTCCTCAAATAATTTGGCTGTCTTTTCCTCACAACACGAAATGTCTTCCCCTTCTCTCTGCTTATTTGCCCAAATCCAATTGACACCCAGTGAATCAATAACAAAGAAAGAGATAAGATGGGTGCAAAAGATCAAAGTAAAGTCTTCACTGGGTCTAAAAAGCTTCTGGAATCCACGGAAAGTGACAAAAGCAACCCACTTTCAAAATTAACTGCTGCTCTCTTGTCATATAGCCAACTCATGGCTCCATTTTGAGGTCCATTTTAGTTTTCCTGAGTGGGGAGTGATGAGCTATTATTCTACAGAGGTGACTCAGCTTCCTTGCATTTTTTGCAGGCTTCCTCAATCTTACTTCTCACTTGATGTCCCTGGCTTGCCTGCTCCAGGCCCTCCTCCAGGCTGAAGGCAGTGATACTGGACAGCAGAAGACACCCTCCCCATGCCACCTGCTTAAGTGTTGCCTCTGACTCCATTGAGTTTCATAATCTGTCCTCTTGAGAAAGAAGGAATCACTGTGATCCAGCCACTGTGCTGCAAAATTACTGCTTTCCACAGTCGCTGGGAAGTGGGCGGTCTCCAGCATTGCAGTACGCCTGGGTACTAACAAACACGATAATGTACTGGGGACAGCTCCCACGTCGCTGTTTGACATAGAAGAGCTTGTTTCCTGCTCAAATTTCTCTCCTTAGCACACCTTTGTTGGCAACGCTGGGGACACGTTAGCCTCACTACTGTCTTTCAGAGATGACTTGCACTGAGCCAACTTCCTATTGCCTGAAGGTTCATGTAGAAACAAATGGATGTTGGTGAAGCAAATAGGTATATGGCAATAGTTACTCTTTTATTCATGGAGGAAGGGAAAAGGAATATATATATATAACAGAAGTCTATGGGATAATGAATAGGACTGAAAAAAAGAAAAAAATGGTTGCTTCCTTTTATCCTCATTGCAAAATACCAGCAAGAGGACACACCCACAAATTATGAAGAACAACTACAGCACATGGGCAGTAAACTGAATTGCCCTCTGCAAGGCAGAAGGCTCCATTTAATCATCACCAGCGTGTCCCCTGCTGACCTCACAACCTCCAAACACAAGAGCAGGGATGTCTGTTTTGACATCGGGCTTGAACAACTCTGGAATTCACCACCTGATGATGTCATTCTAGCAGCAGTTTAGAAAGGCCTAAAAAAGTTTCAGAAACTCACACGGATAAGGAAATCATCAAGTATTGGAATGATTCATATTAGAAACAGACAAAAATACCCCACCGATGGCTACTTCTAGGTAACTGCCTGTCAAGTTATTCCGTAATGGCCAGCAAAAGGGGGTTTTGGCAATTTTTTCTTTTGCACATTCTGCTACCTGCTGTCCAGGACTAATCTCACTTTGGAAGAAGCTCCGTTGAGATGGCAGCTTGCGTTCTAACAAGATGCATCTTGTATTAGAGTCTATTTCCCAGAATGTCAGAAACAGATTTTATGAAATGCAGAGGAGAGCAACACAGAGGAATAGAAGAAAGTAGATTGATTTAAGAGGAGAGATTGAAAAAAAGACAGTTTGAGAGATGGCTTTTTTCGAAGTAGAGCAGCAATTCCAGGATGCCAATTCGTGGTATTGTAAATGGAAGTCTGATTTCCAGAAATTGTTGGGCATGGAGAAAAGCAGACCCTCTAAAGGACCCCTGAAATAGAAGCAAAACTTCATTAAATAAGAAGTGTATAAAGTATTTGAGAATTACAACCAAGAGAGGAACATGCAGAGGGATTAACTACAGGTAATGGAAAATTGATAAAGAAATTAAGACTGACATGAAAATTTGAGGAAAATCTTCTGTTTGACTAACCATTAGCTAATTTCATTTAATTTTCATTTAATTTCATTTAAAATACACTGATTTTATTGCAGATAAACCAGTGTAGGCCAGTTGAGAGTCTGAGCTTCTGGTACTGTGGAGTAATTAAAGAAAATGAATGGTATGAACCCTGGTACATCATGCACTGACTATCCAAAGGGATTAGAAAAATGCACTGCCAGGACTATCTTCCTGTGCCTCCAGGCTCCGCTATTTCATCAGTGAAGCTGCTGCTTCTGCAGGGAGGAAGGAAAGGAAGAAACTCAAGAGGAGAGCAGATCC